CAATAACTTATATTATTCAGTATCGCCCTAAAGAGTTCAAAAGAAGTGTATGACTGAAGGTTGAATATTTCATACTGGTGATTGTTACTGTACTGCTAAATATTTTTATTCAAAATCAAAGCTGCCAGTGGGCCTATATTACCTTGGCTGGCAAGCTATCTTTTATGATTGTACCATCCTATCGATTCGTGTTTGTTCAGTCGGTTGAATAGCTAGCTATGTGATGTTTGATTGTAATTATATTATGTCATCAGCAGTCATGAGGGATGACATGAGAGAGGCTTGGTCACGTGGTCATCAGGTTTCAAAGCAAAGGGCTCATGACGTCAACAAAGAATTTACCAGGGTAGGGAAAAAATAAGCACCAAAATTAAGAATGGGAGAGCATGTAATCCCTCATGACTGCTGATGACATAATATAATTACAATCAAACATCACCTTACAGGTAAGTCTCGTTTAATTTTTAAATTTTATTACATCATCAGTCAGTCACGGGATTTCATGAGATTTCAAAGCAAGACATGACCACAGCTTAGCAGAAAATGTATAAATAAATAAATTCAATGTAAACAAAAGCTTTATATATTATTAACTAACATAATAAAATTAACAGTTCTAATGAAAACATTATGTTCTATCTGAACATTCTTCAATATCAATAATCTCAAAAAACTCAAATGTAAATATAAACTAAAAATATTAACTTTTCTGTCAGTTATATCTAATAATGCATCAGCAAAACATGTATCTCTTGTGTGCGTTACAGGTAAATTATAAAACTTCCGAAAAACTGACGAAGTTTTCCAACTAGCAGAATTAAGAATCACATCTATAGGAATTTGTTTTCTTGAGGCAGCACTAGTTGCTGCAGAACGAACACTATGTGCATGAAAAGTTTGAATATCAATACCAGCAAGAGCCAAGATTTCACGAATCCAACGAGCTATAGTTGATTTTGATGCTGGTTTTAAAGTTGTATGGGTGTAACGTGGAAGTGCTGGACGCAATTCGAAGACTCCTTTTAGGAAACGGCATATCAAGGGATGTTTTCCCAAAGTTCCATTATAATCAGAGTCTAACAACACAACACTAGACAATGCTGAACGGGCTGTATTTAATCCGCTATATCCCAGTCCTTCTTTGTACAAGCTAACAAAAAAAATCAAGCACACAACTTAGAGAAGATGATAAGGGATCACTGTTCCATCTACCACAAAAGTTGATCCATTTTTCAAGGTATGTGTCATATTGTTTCGATGTTGAAATTCGCCAGGATTGGCATATAATGTTTTGAGTTTCTTGCGAAATTCCATGCAAGGCAAGGCCTGACCGGACAAGACGCCATAGACATAACTATATATGTTATCATAACTAAGTAATATATATTTCAGAACTATATATGTTATCATAACTTAGTAATTTATATTTCAGAACTATATATGTTATCATAACTAAGTAATATATATTTCAGAACTATATATGTTATCATAACTTAGTAATTTATATTTCAGAACTATATATGTTTCACAACTTAGTTATATATTTTTCAGAACTATATATGTTATCATAACTAAGTAATATATATTTCAGAACTATATATGTTATCATAACTTAATAATTTATATTTCAGAACTATATATGTTATCATAACTTAGTAATTTATATTTCAGAACTATATATGTTATCATAACTTAGTAATTTATATTTCAGAACTATATATGTTATCATAACTTAGTAATTTATATTTCAGAACAATATATGTTATCATAACTAAGTAATGTATATTTCAGAACTATATATGTTATCATAACTTAATAATTTATATTTCAGAACTATATATGTTATCATAACTTAGTAATTTATATTTCAGAACTATATATGTTATCATAACTTAGTAATTTATATTTCAGAACTATATATGTTATCATAACTAAGTAATATATATTTCAGAACTATATATGTTATCATAACTTAGTAATTTATATTTCAGAACTATATATGTTATCATAACTTAGTAATATATATTTCAGAACTATATATGTTATCATAACTTAGTAATTTATATTTCAGAACTATATATGTTATCATAACTAAGTAATATATATTTCA